TAACAGTATGTCTGTATTCAAGTGTTTTGGTAGGTATTTCAAGCTTTCCTGCTCCAGCATTGGAATGCGGGGCATGAACGTTTTTTTTTTATTTTGAAAATCAACAGTTTGCATTATGCAATTAAAAATCCTAACCAATAAAGTAGGGAATAGCTATCCAACTGTTGTTTTAGTTGTATGTTACTTCATATTATAGTTATATCAATGTAAATCATTGTTTTCCCTTGTGTTTCTCATTCTTTCCCTGCCATGTCGTAAAATGTGGTGAACCCATCGCTGTATTTGCTCCAAAGCAAATATTGGCCTTTCTAGTTTAACCTTAAGATTTACATTGTGCTAGACATTACAAGTTGAAGCAATTCATTATCAGTTCAATATTTGCCTGTATGTTGCAGAGTTTGTGAAAGTGCTGTACTTCCCCATGAATGAGCTACAGACAAGGATAAATGGTAAGGACTTGTTTTTACCAGTTGTGCCCTTGTAGGAATAGGATCTTGCCTTGTCCTGGTTTTGTGGTTTTAGTAAAACAATTGAACTTGTGTATGCCAACTAGCTAACAAACATTTGCTACAGTTCTGGGACTGACAAAAAAATTTTCAACCAGACCTCCAGCAAATATTCTTAATAATTACTAGTACTGGTAACATGGGACTTGGAAGTGAGCAAATGTTCCAAAGTGGTTTGAAGTTGGTTTTGTATAGGAGTAAGAATTAACTTCATTAATGTTTTGTATACAAACTTTCATACTAAAACACATTCCTTGGCATAAGTAAAAAAAGACAAGTTCACCTCTCATCATTGCTCTGCTTGTTCTTTCTAGATTACACAAAGAAAGAGGGAGTGACGGTGGACTCCCTTGTCTACACGTACGCCATGGCCCTGCAGCTGAGTAAGGGGAAGGACCCTGTACAGAGAAGCCCTGGCAGGATCGACAAGAAGTAAAACTTCAGTGCAACAAAAAAACAGCTAATTAATAAAACCATTCCCTTAGTTTATTCCAATAACCTGCCCTACTTTTATTGGTTAGCTAATATTATGGAAACTCATCATGATCAATCCTGTCTTGTTGTCAGCTGAATGGGCCTCCTCTCCAATTCTAGGGGCCTGACCTTTGGAAGGGCCTGCTAGAAGCATGGTGTAGTCTGGTTAATATACGAATACGAAGCCAAGCCAACACAGACCTATGGGGTGAACAACTTGAACTCTTACCTTGACCCCAACTAGTTATAGTTTAGAAAAGAGTCCAGTGACCAAGTCAGTCTAGATTATAAGCATACTGTGACTTGTTATTAGTAATATTAATGTGTGTCAAATTGGGGGAAGTGGAATTCCAAAAGAAAAGTATATGGTGGAGAGAGATTGTAAAGCATGACTGTGTAATAATTGTGAAGGTGTGTCACTGATTAACTTCTTTCTTCATTTTGAGAAAAGTGAAGTCAAAAAGAAAATAACTTAGGATACTCTGAGTAATCTACCCAGACATGTGACATAGTCATTGGACATGTTGTGTTGATTTATTTACATAGACAGTAAATACATGTAGGAGTCAAACCTCCTAGTTTGGTTTACTTGGCATTTTTAAGTCTTCCAGTCTTCATTGTTCTCTGCATCAACTTAAACCTAGCTTTGTTATACTAATAGTTAAGTTCACTGACTCACAATGTGGTGAACTACATAATATTCTATGAGCCATACTATGGACTCTAAAAGACTGGAATTGCATGCTTTGGGCATAGTTAAATCATGTAAGTTACTTAGAAACTACATGTACCTACCGGTAACAAGGTTGTGATGTAAAGTGTACCTGTTTACACTTGCTACCTGTTTATGTATATGATCAGCTTTGATCCTAAGTGAAAGTAAGAATTTTTTTGCTAAAAGATAGTCTCTAAGGCATGTTTATTGTTGGTTTTGCTTTGTTGTTTTTGTTAAACAAAAAAGTTATAGGGCGGTATCTAGCGTAAACATGGCAGCCAAAAATTACCAAAATCTGCCAGAACATCTACTGGGAGGCTCACACTGAAGAACAAGTCTGGACACAGAGTACATTCTCTCCTATTCATCCAGACTCCTTCAGAATCTACATGTATCATGGTGAAACCTGTTTATGTACCAAAGTGAAATCTGTGTCTCGAAATGTACAATGTATATGTGCCAAGAATCTGATTCTCGTACAAGGATTCCATGTAGCCTGGTTATTTTAGCTAGTTTTAGCTAGGAAGTTCCATGTACACCAGCTCATGCAGCACATTGTGCATAATGTTGATTGCTGCTTATGTGTCAAGTCCTTCAAATTTGAATGTAGGATTTCTTTTTGTTGCCCAGATGGACAGTTATGAAAAGAAAACATGTCATAGGGCAATGTAAAATTGAAGACCTGACAGATACATGTATTTTCACCGAGGGTGCTACAAGCACATACAATGCTTGTTTGATTTCTTATATTTATGTGCGAAATTCAGAAATATCTTTTTTAATTGGTTTTCTCTGCACTTTCCAAAGTCTCTGCATGTGGAGTTGTTAACGTTTGTACTTTATGTATTACTACTACTACTAATTCTTGCTATGGTAAACATATGAGGTGCACAATAGAGCACATGTGATGTATAGATATTTATCTAAAAGATGGTTACATGTAGTCAGGTGGTTCTGAGTCATGGTTGGTGACAGTGAAGTTGCGCCATCTGGTGACAGGTTTGTAAATTGCACATATTTCACAAGATGAGATGATGAATGGGGGTCATGAATATATGTGGGTTACAAAAATGATAGTATCATAACAATGTTGGTATAGTCACCAGAATCAAAATGATTTTATGTTTAGTGGCTTGAGGAGAAACCGTATATGTGTCATAAAGCTGTGATCTCAGACAATATGTTGTAAAGCCAACAAATTCATCTTTTATGAACATGTATGTGTATAGTCTAACCATTGCTCTTCTACAGACCATTTGAAAGGCAGACTATTAACTATGTAGGTAGCATGGGAAAAAAAAGGTAAAAAAAAAAAGACGTGGTAGGGTAATCGTAGAAATTTTAGAAGTTATTGGCCAGGTTACAGGTATATTTCAGATAGAAAATTTGCTACAATTTTTAGGGGACGTCACTTATAGGTCCAGAATTGCATGTGTCCTAGAAATTGACACCAATAGTCTAAAGATGCATCCAAGAAAAACTCTGCATTGTCACAAATACATGTTTATTGGTAAAGTCTAAAGCATTTTGCCATTCAACATGGAGTAATAAAAACATCTACCCATACTAACACATGTATACTTGTCATCATTTCTCCTTGTGTACACATTTGCCACAAGACAGCTACATGTATATGTACTTCTAGTATTTGTTACAGCAACATTTAGTAGAAACTTCAACTTTGTTAACATTCACTGTCTATTTCTTCTGCAAAAGATGTTTCAAACACTCGTAAACATGTATTTGTTATGGAGCTAAGTAGCAGGGAGAAGGATGAAATACCATTGGATTCTATAAAACACTTGTCTCCACCAGACTCCTTTCCAGTCTATGCAGGTAAACTGCACCTTCTATGGCAAACTCCCCTTGCCAGCTACCAGTACATTCTTTTTAGGCCAGTTTCTACTATTCATTCAGCCTGCAAAGGAGTCTGGTGGAGACTAATAAAACACATACATAGTACATATTACAGACATTTCCTGTTGCTGTAATATGTAAAAAAACATCCACACTACTAAAACTTGATTGAATATTTGTAATACAGTTTCTGCTATGACAGTTCGAGACATTTCACTATAAAAAAAATAGTTGGAGAATTCAAATTTTCTAGTGACTTTTCAGTCAAATGTATTTGTTTTCTTCCTTGCGACCTAGGAATAATAATGGCTGGCATAGCCTACTCTTTCGAGCATTTTAAAACAAGTAAGTATTATTAATTGAGTCCACATACAGGGACCTGTTAGTATTACTGTTAGACCTCGCCAAAGTTGATGTGCCCAGTTTGCGTGGCGTGTTCCTGGGCTTGTTTCTGCCCCGTCAGACACGTGTTACACACCAGACAGCGCAGCGTGAAACCCGACACGTCCGTGAACTGGCGGTTGCTGCGAGCTTCAGTGGCAAACTCCTGCGCTAGGGCGAGGATGGAGTCGTCCGTTGTCGGGAAGATTGTCTTGGCGGGAAAGTTTGGGTCCAGCGCCTCCAGGTACAGAGCATCGTAGTGGATCCCATCGTACAGCAAGAGAACACGCTGGTCATACCTACTGTCTTCTCCAAAGCGGTCTATTCTGCAAGACTGAATGTCAACGACGTCTATTTCAGTCTCATAGACTTTAGATAAGATGGAGACTTCTATAGCCCCTCCCCAGCTCTCGGAATTCAGAATCCAAGCGCAGTACTCAGCATTGCTCTTTCCTAGGAGAGCTTCGTTGTAAAGAACAGCATTGGAGGCAACGACGTCTGCTATCAGATTCCTCATCTGTGTGGCACGTGACAGGTCCATGACTCCGCCCTCCATCACGAAACCGATGGCGGTGAACAGGCAGGAGTTGTTCGCTGGCACGACTTTCCGTGTCATCACTCCCTGCCCAGACAGGCTGAAGTTGCTATTACTGGTCGGGACTGTACGCCGGTTTGCTGGTACTGAAGTTGGGGGTGGTACTGGTGCCGGTGCTGCTGTCTTGCTCCTGTCTTCCTCTATCACTAACGTGTCACCAGAACATATGGGTAAACTGTTCAGCGGCGCAGTCTCCCCGTCAAACTTGATGGGATGGGGAGGGAAACCGATCAGGATCTTCTGTGACTCCTTCGGGATGTTGGTGAGCTCGGCGACGAGACGTTGAAGATCAGCGACCGTCGACTGTGTGGTCAGTCCCTTCATGAGGTGTTGCCCGTTTTTGGACTTGCATCGTAGTGTGAGAGCTGAACCGGCCCCGCTCATTGTTGTCGATTGCTTCTTATATTGAGGAAAAAGTGGACACATGTCACATTCTAAATTCTATTAAACCAAGGACGTTCTATCAGTAAATGTCCTTGACTAAACAAAGGTTGTGAGTCAGGATGAATCACACTGATCATGAAGGCTAGTGAGGCTTACATCCTTGGTGCATCATAGATAAAGAATTTGATTATGTTACTGTCTTCTATTATATCTTTGTACCTTAGAAAAAGATGGGGATCTTATTAGCTGTATAATGTCCTCGGTAATACGTAATATTAGACTTGGGCAAAAATAAACATGATTGTGAGCAAACTGGCCTTGGTGCTTAAATTGGAACACCTGGCAGTTATGTTATAATTTATAGCTTCAAAGACCTTAGGTGCTTCTTAGCACAGAGTATGTAGTAGCAATATTCACAGACGTAACGACAATTGACTTGTATAAACTACAACTCACCCACCGTTCTCTGAAATCTCCAAAATAAACAACAAAGACAGCTGTTCTAATTCAAACCTCTCCTACAAAATGGCGATTCGTATGGTCAGAGGTCAAATCCACCACCAACAAACACTTTTTATGATTACAATATAATCACGGGATGAAATCTTGAGACACATGGCTTCTAGAAATTAGATTTAATATTTTATATTTATAACGATGAATTAATTTGCTAGATTTCATTGTTAAACGGGATTTGCCTCTGTAACGCAAGATCGTATTTGCTTGGCTGCGGTGGCTGAGCAGAACTCGCTCCAAGATGTCTGACGACGGACGGAAATCGCCCTCGCGGCCGCCAGGTCAGTCGGAAAAGCTCTCCTACCTTTCATGTTTCCCACCGAAAAGTCACTTTAAGTACCCAAACTACACCATTATACGGTATCCTTAGACATAACGTTTGATTTTGGGAGTGCGGAAGTTTAATTTTTCGAGAACTGGCGCCCGAAAATTTGGTGTTCATTCATACGATAGCGTGGTTGAATGGGCGTTACGTGCTGATTACAAGGACAAATGTTGTTACGTAGCTGTCCTCTTTCTTCTACAACAAAGGGTACGACAGAGAAAGAACATTTTTAGTACATTGACGTGTCAAGGTCAATTCTTTGGATATTCATGTGATATATTGAATGGCATATGGGCTAGAAATTTGCCAAATTAATTGTGCAAGTTTTGTTCTGAACGCAAATTTGCCATCCACTTATTTTGGCGCGGGATTTGATGCCTACGTGTTCGTTACCACGGTTTCAGAAAAATTCCAATATCCTGTTGTGAACGGTTCATTTTCACTGTAAAGTCATTGGTACATAAAATGTCGTTCCTTCTAATACTACACATTATCTTTGATGGAAATTGTTAGTAAAAAATAATTTACAAACGCAGTTTCTCGGTAACCCAAAATGACAACGTCAGAAAACAATTATGACGACATTAATTTCTCTCTTCCCCATTTCGAATTGTTTGTCATCCACTTGGGACATCTTTCCTTCCATTTCCAGCAAATTGAGAGCTACCTCACACGGTTTATAAATAACCCAAGGCCAAGCGTATAAATGTGTCCAGAGTCCATATACAGTAGTTATTTTGGAGGTCTTCAAACCGTGTGATGTGCAGCCTGTCAAATTTTCAGGCCAGGTTGTTTGGAATGTTACAAGTCCTGTGCAGTAGGGCACACTGATCTACATTCATTGTGCATTCACTGGAACAAACCACTCTGTCAAGTGGGGGTTCCAGAGGACCAGCTTCACTCTCAGGGGGTCCAATTTCACCAGCATGCCTATTGGACCAGGTATTGTGGCTGCTTCGGTACACCTTTCTGTATGAGCAAATGATAGGTCTTTAAGTATGGCGGTTGCCAAGTCTATAGAAGGGTGTGAAAGGCAAGAATACCTACCATTCAAGTGCCTCCCCAGAATAGGCCTCCTCATGAAAGAGCTGCGTATCACATGACTTGGCTCTGATTGGCTGTTGGCCTGTCTGTCAATAGTGCTTATGTGCATCAGGTTTTCCGCTGCCCCATTTCTGGCCGGGTTGTCAGTTGCCGGTCACAGTTAGAAAGAGGGTGCCATAGAGAACAGTGCCTTTCTAGGTGAAATTGTATAAGAAATGAGGTGCCTATGTCTGACGACATGAGAACAAGAAAATTATCCTGTCCCGAAGTAGGCGTTACTGGTTCTGAGTTGGGAAATTTGGGGCCAGGTAGGTGGAATTTTCCTCTGACATGTGGTGGACTGTAGTTTCTGTTAGGTTTAAATCTCAGCTCACACAGTCACAGTCAAGTACAACATTTAGGTAACGTGTAGACTGTTATTCAGTTAAAATTACATATCTTGAGTATATTGTAGAAATTTGTGGTATGTTGTGTCAGCAGGAGCTTAAAGACTGTGTGTTGATCATGGTTTCTTTGCTATCATTATTCAAAACACATGCTGGATATGTCTTGCTGTAGTTTTGTCCCAAAATTGTATCACATTTGGTTTGTCAGAGTTTCCCACATTTTCTTTGTTTTCATGGCTGTCAAAACAATCTGGGGCTTGATAGGATGTGCACTTCCTGTCATGTATGTTGGTGTGAATATTCATCATTATATTGTTATGTCTAGAGATTTAATGTCTGAAAAAGCTATTGTGTCTAGATCACTTCCAAAATTGAAACAACTTTCCTTTCCCAGCTGAGAATTTTACCAAATTTTCCATATTGTTATCATAGTACTGTGTGTCCTGGAAATTTCCACTGAGGCCAAGTATGAGGTGTCAGTTTGGTTAGCATGGCCAACTCATGAGAACCAGCTGTATCAGGTTACACAGCAGAGCCCTGGGACTGGCTGGTTCTAAAGGCGTTTAGGGGGTGTTCTCTCTGCCGACAGGGGGTGTACCCAGGCAGTTTTTGGTACCATAGGGCGACAGTCTATCACTGTTTGATTTACACGTGATTGTACTTTGTCCGTCTCTGGTTGTGCAACCTTTGCGTCAGACGTAACAATGTTATATGTGCACTGTGTTGTTTACACACGTGACAGCATGACCTGAAATTTTGAGGGGCTGCTTGTTGCCATGGATATTTATATTTGAGCATTGTAATCTGATTGTGATATAGAAGCATTTTGCAGCTAAATGTTGGTATAAATAGTAGTACTTGTAAGGGCCAAGTGGTTTTGTGGAAGCCGGTAGTGAATGGTTCATTGGGCGGCCACCTGAAGAAAGTAAGTGTTCACATGATCAGTGCATGATCAGGGCATGGGTCTACATGCACATGGGGACTTCCTCCATAGGGGTGTCGTCACCTGCTTATGTACATATTTACATATTTAATTGTTCTACAGTCCTCTTGGGAAAGGACTTGTACAAAGATTAACAGCTGATCCAGTTTGTTTGGTGCAGGACTTCATTTCTTCACACTTCACAATGTAATTTGCTAGAAATGGAATGTTCCGTTGCAGTTTGCCTGCTAGTTTCAATAGTTTCCGTCCAGGATACAATTTGTCACATTGCCAACTGCCAAGAAGAGTTGCCATGGATGGAAAATTCCATTTAGGTGCAAGGGCAGGAAAATTGGAGCTAGAAGCTGATTTGATTTGACGTACTGGCCTCGTGACACAGACAAAGCTTATAATTTTATTTCCAGCCTTAAGTAAAATGTGGCACATGGCGCACATATGCTTAAGGGCTGTTGCTAATGAGGAATTTCATTATGTACACACAGACTTGACAGCCAGAGAGGGTGAGGCCTAGCCCCAAAAGGCACATATTGTCTAAATTTATCATAAGATTGGCTTAGCACCATTATTCCATTGATTTAGGACAGTCTTGTGTACATGTCTTTCAGGCAAACTTGTGTCTGATTCCTGCTCACGTCTTCCTACCACACGGCATTAGCCGGACTATACAATAGACATGTAATTGCTTTCGCTTTCACTCATTCCAGTTACATTTGTATGCCTGGCAGTGTTGGGGAATTGGAGTCAGGGGCTGATCTGATTCGATTTCGCTGCCTCAAAATTGAACTCGTGCTGAGGGCCGTTGCTAGAATGGGTTATTTGTGGTGTTCACGTATACTGCATCGTTTGTGTGTAATTTGCTTACTGCAGTTATAAATGGTTTTTGTGCAGTAGCACTAGCAGTGCCATGCTTTGGAAATCTAAGCTGGTATGATTTTAAGCACCAAAATTAGACTAAAGCATAGTGTAAGTCTGAAACAATTCTTTGTTTGTACCCAATACTAGGCAATAGACAAATGGGGAACAAAAAGGTCCATGGTATCTGATATGTTTATGTTACTGATAAATCATACATGTAAATGTATGTGTGTATTTTGTGTTGTAGTGCACCAAATGGACAGATGCTACATGACCCAGACTGGCCAGAGCATGTGAGGATGCGTAAATGAGTGCACCGAATAATTTATGCTTATAATTAGGTTGCCTCTGCCTTGCTGTTTTTTAAGAGATGCATGTTTATTTTTTGCAGCATCATGCCCTCAGCTGGCCAACTGCCCCACAGTGATTGTGATGGTGGGTCTGCCTGCCAGAGGCAAGACCTACATGTCCAAGAAACTCACCCGATACCTGAACTGGATTGGGGTCAAGTGCAGAGGTAGGGTCCTTTTTATACTGATGTTCTAAGATGTTCTTTTTAGTTCACCTTGAAACTTCAACTGAAAGTTCACTCACATAATTCATTTATTCCGTCATTTGGCATGTATTTTTGCAGTGGTTTCATTGCTAAAGGAGAGCTTTCTTTCATTAAGGTTATATGATCTACTGTATAACTATTTGATAGTCACAACAACACAAATTGATGAAAATTGCTCACCCCCTCCCTTCTCAGTGTTCAATGTTGGAGAGTACCGACGAAGTGCCGTCAAGGAATACAAGAAGTTTGACTTCTTCGACCCTCAGAACAAGGAGGCCATGAAGATTAGAAAGTGAGAAATATGTTCCTTTTCAACATTTTTAACTCAATCATGAATGATGGGTCAGTGTACATAGAATGCTGATGTGTTGAGGTTTCTTTGTTAACTCTATGTCACTGTACATGTAATTTTACCAGTTGTTAATGTCACTAAATTCAATACAAGTCAAAGAAAATATTACACATTGTATATTGTTACAGATGTATCAATGAAATGACTATTTGTGCTCATGGCATTTAGCCTTAAGTTTCCTTAATTTTATTCTTTACCACATTCACTTACACAATCATGTACATAATACTTGTACGTCATGTACAATACCTGTAACTTGCATCACGATATCTGACGCCTACCATTTTAAAGTCATTTCATCTATAACCTAATCGCATGTGTAATCTAAACTACATGTGATTCCATGTTGTTCAATCATCTATTTGTTTGTGTGTTTCCTCTGATTTTTTTCTCTGGAATATTCCCCCCGATGCCCCCATAGACAATGTGCCTTGGATGCCCTAGCTGACATGTCGTTGTGGCTTGAAGGGAGGGCGAAGTGGCCGTAAGTACAGCCGTGCGGCACGTGTTTAACCTGTCGGTGATGGTTCCAGGGACACAGACACAAACTCTTCCAACTCTCCTCAGGACAAAGGTTTCCCAACTGGACAAATGCCAACTTCTTAAGAAATTTGCAGACCAAATCTGCCTTCTGCCAAAGATAGAATTTATTACCAAAGTTTTATCATTCAAGCCCTGCTGTATAACCCAAGTTCTCTTGATTAAAATCTCATTACAGAAAAAAGCCCCCAATGACTTTTTCTAGCCAGCAAAAAATGTGAGAACAACCATTGGTAACAAACACCCCCCTCCCCCAAAATAAAATCAAAATTCATCTCTGTTTACTTAGTAGGCCTGTTTCTCAACCAGTGGACTATATATAGTACTTACATCAGCAGAGGAAATGATATTGAAGGAACATGAAAAGGAGATGCCCAGTTGGAAGGTTTGTTGCTGAAGTCCATGGACTAACCTTGGGCATATCGCCTTAGGCTTAACCCTGCCTTGTGTTTCTTTTTGTAGTAAAGTTTGTGAGCAGGCTATGGAAGATATGATTGGTTGGCTAGAGAATGAAGGTGATGTAGCTGTAAGTATGAAAATCTGAGAAAACTCTGATTGTTCAAATGACATATCAGTCTGAATGTTCACATTCATGATTGCCCAGTCTCACGGGCATCCAGATTGTGTTAGAGGCAACCAGTTGAGGTTGCCTTGTGATCATCTAAAGTTTGTTGAAAGACTAGATTTTCAGCAGCGACATCTGCTTATCATTCACCATTATATTATAATTACTCTATCATCTATGCAATTCTAACACAATGTTTCAAAGTTTTGTCTACATCTTAACAAAGTTTGATAAAATCCTTGATATGAAGATGACTCCTTTATTCTGTTAAGTATAGGTTTAGGTGCATATGTATAGATTTGCAGGATAATGGGCAAATGGATTGTTTGAAATTAAACAGATCTTATCAAGACAAGGAGCTTGTAATCTGTTGTATTCAGAAACAATTCAGTTTAACCTTAAAGTAGCCACTCAAAGCTTGGAGGGTGTGTCCTGACGGATGTTTTGTTTTGCAGGTTTTTGATGCAACCAACACGACTCGAGAGAGACGCCAGCTGGTTATGGACTACTGTCAAAAGGAGAAGAACTTCAAGGTATGTATGTGGACACATGAAGGGAAGTGGCCCAGGAATGGTAGTCTCCAATCCCATGCCCTTAACTTTTGCCTTGCTACATAACCTCCATATATCCAGTACCAGTTTGGTGCAAAATAGTTTCCATGTCAGGTTGAAGGTTAATCTCGACCACTTCAGTGGAGAGAGTTGTATTGGCCCCAGATACAGTACAGTGCATTTTAAATTACATTGTTCATCTTCTGACACTAATATGAGCACACTCCTCTCTCTCCAGGTCTTTTTCATTGAGTCAATGTGCGATGATCCGGAAGTGGTTGCAGAAAATGTGAAGGTAGGTGCAAATGAATAAAACATGCAAGTATATAACATTACTTCAAAGTGCCTTAAAATTGTCAAATTCGCTGCTATAAAACACTTCCCAAATGTACCCCTTTTACTAGTTTTATACTGCATGATGTTTGTGGAATATTTGAGCTCATTGATGATTTCTGATTTGCACTTCAATTTGATTTGCCTTTCTTCCGTCTTTTCCCAATGTTTTAATTCCCTTGCTTGCATCCTTCCAAACGTGTGTAAATGTTGCTGGCCCTTATCAAACTAATTAAGTCTTCGCAATGCTGGTCATCTTAAGTTTGGGACCACTGCATCACTATCAAATTCTATAGTCAATTATCGAGTACATGTATGTAGGTTGGCAAGACTGATGAATGTAAAAAAGTGATCTCTGAGTCTCAGTAGTCTTCTGTGAGCACGAACTTATCTCCAATCTCAAGTCCAATGATGTACGTGTAGCTCTCAATGAAGATTTCAAAATAATTTTTTTTCCAAAAATTTTGGAATGATTATTTCCAATAATTTTGAAATGTAACTTTCAAAAGAAAAGAAATCGTGGATTGTTATGAAAATATAGAATTTGAATACATTCTGATTTGCATAATCACATCTTAAAACTGGCTGCAAAAATCCTTCTTTTGAATTGTTTTCAATCACATATTTGACTCATTCGGCTTTGAAAATATGTACAAAAATTTCTATTTGGACTTCTTCTGTCCATTTTTAGATCACACTGCAGGACACCAGTAGCTCTTTTGCGGTAAGGTACCATTTCATGATGCCCTGGCCTACTACCCAGCACTTCTTAGGCATATATGAACTTAACTGATTTCTTTTACAGTTGTGGACAAATGTCTAAAAACACTAGACACAGGAACATTTTAAAAACTATGAAATATGTATTTTTATTAATCACAAATTTTTAGAAAGAATTAGAAATCGCCCATATAGCAACTTGGACTTGGAATCAACTTAATACATCATTGACAAAAATAACACCTGCTAAATATAAAAGGAAGTTTGCCATCTTAAGTGGCATTGAAAGCATTACCAGTGGATGGATTGGGGACCTTCAGCCTGGGTACTTTGATTTGAATTTCAAATTTAGAAATCTAAAGGTTGCTTTCTGAGTTTAACTTGACCAGTACTACATTGTAAACAAACAAGGTGTGTGGATCATAGCCACATTTTCCCCCGTTACTAGACAGAATGCTATCGCTACTCTCCATCTGTCCTAACAAATCTGAAGAATCCATGCCTATCCTTCCTCAACCAATAAAGCAATGAATCAAGCAAAGCATGACACACAACGTCGATGTATCCATATCCACTGACGGCATTATAGAATAGTCCCTGAAATTTAAGAAAGACAAATTGAGAAAGTCACAAGTAAGGCTGTTCTGTCACAGACATACTGCTATTGTAGTAAACTTGGCATAGAGTGTGGCAAAACTCTTTGATGATAGCATGTCGAAATTGAAAGAATGGTGCAGCTATGTTTTAACAAACTACTGGTAATCATACTTTCATACTGTGAAAGAAACCTGTTACATAACTCTTGGCTCTGGTTCTATGGAAAACCAACTCAAAGGCCTGCCAATTTCTGAAAGGTCTGTTTGTCTGTTGTCGGATGACCTTGAACCATTCGCAGGCGACCTTGAGCTTCCCACCCGCCCTCACGTCTCACTCTTTGCATGCAGGGGCATGAGGAATTGGGGGAGATATCAGAAGGACGCGGTGCCGCTGCGCCGTTCAGGCGTGATGTCGGCGTAAGTTTCCCCCCCACACTGCATGTCAGGGTATCATGGTTAAACTGAGGAGCGCTTTTCATGTTCTCACACAAGGCTGGTTTTCTTCATGTATGCCAACATTCTTTGGTTAGGCTTCTATTGATAGTCCAGTTCAGCATTGTTTCTTTACACCGGCAGTCTAAGAACCAACAGACTAGTGTGGCATGTGAAGGAGGGACCTTACATTGTAATGTTGGCATGCAAGCAGAAATTATGACCTTGTACTTGACTGGTGGTGAACACATACATCGTACAATACACCTTCAATGTTTTACCAACATTAGAAGGTTTCTTCTCAGATCTAAGACATAAGACGATTGTCATGGAAAACCATGGTACTAGGTGCATTGCACGATGTATGTGACTGGGGGTTTAGGTTCATAACATGCACATACTGTATTCAATCCAAGCACAGAAAGCACATACTTGTATGAAACTTAGTTCTCAAACTGGTGATGGTTTTCTAATTGGCCTTTTGCAGTAATTTCAGATTAACAGTGTTCAGCTACAGTAAAGCTACACATTTGTGGTTTCATCATAATCGGTCCAATGCATTTTTGTGACACCGTTCTACTGTTATATGAAAGAAAATTTGTGATAAAAGTAATCCACACTGTCTTTCTCTGTTCCAAATCCAACTGCTTTTCAATCTTCTAAGATAATATTTAATTAAAACACAGCAAGTATTCAAGATATAAGAAGCAACTAAAATAGACAAATTAAGCACTGTAGATTCTTGCATAGACTATTTTTACGCACTGTACAAGGGTATTGTACAGTGCGTAGAACCAAATTAAGCAATCATCCTATTGAACCTATTGTCTAACTTGTAAGTTAAAGTATCTCTCCCCATTCAACATGCCTGCATGTTCCCAAAGCTCATCTGCTAAAATTGTTCAAGGTAGTCCAAGACCTTTGAAAGGATGTTTTAAATCCTTCCCCTTCATGCATCCAATAGCACAAAACTCTGATCATTTCTGTGGAAGGACTTACTTTTTCCTTCTGTGCGATGTTGATACTGCCTGCGCTTTTTTGCACTTTTTTTTTTGCATCTTCACTTTCTTGCCCCCCTCCCTCCGTCACCCTACCATGTTGCATGTACTATTGCATGATATATTTAAACCACAGGAAAAGAGTTTGTCTCGATCTGTTATGACAAATTTTGTATACAGAAAATAACTTAATCTCAATCTATAGTAGTTAAGCAAACAGGACCCATTCTAAATAAGAGTACAATTCGAACGGAAGATTAAATTTGAATATGACAATTTCTGGGTTTGAAACAGACTTAGACCAGAGGATTTGTCAGATAATTTTGTTGCAGAATCAATGATTTTTATTTCTCCTTTCATGACCAATGTCACAAATAATGTTATATGACAACTATGAAAACCTGTGGGCTTTGGGTAATTCTGATAAAGTTTCAATTTCAGAATATGGTTTGAGATGAACATGCCTTTATGAATGGTTGTAACATCAAAACATTTTGTTGGATTTTCCCATTCAACATGACCAGACTTCAGCTACACTGTCAAGTGTAAGCACTAGTGATTCAGTCGTGACCAGTTTTCCCTCTTGGTTGCAGGAAGTGAAGGTGAACAGCCCAGACTACAGGAACATGAACAAGGACGAGGCCATGAGAGACTTTCTGGAGCGGATCCGCATGTACCAGAAGAGTTACGAACCTCTCGACACTGAATACGACAAGTAGGATCATCTATGTACTTCATGGACTTGTTTAAAGTTGCAACAATGGCCACCTAGGTATTGAAGCCTATGGCCACTGTAGATCATTTTTTGTTCTTTGAGGTTAAAACTTAAAAGTCTTTTTTTTTTTTGCTCACCTCCAGGGAGAAGTCCTTCATCCAAGTGCACAATGTCGGCCAGCGTTTCCTCGTGAACCAGATCCAGGACCACGTCCAGAGCAAGATCTGCTACTACCTGATGAACATCCATGTTCTCCCCAGGAGCATCTACCTTACTCGGGTAAGGAGAATCCACTGGTTGATCATTGAGAATTGTCTTGTTTGTAGAATTTAGGTTTAGCATAGCATTTAGACTTGGATAAGGTCTCACATTGGGGTCTGTCATACCGTCTTTTGACACAATTTGTTAATAGACAATCATAGAAAAGCTCTTGACTGTCTTTACGAAAATTGATTCAGCATGGTGAAAGTGAGTTGAACATCAAGGGCCGTATCGGCGGCGACTCCTCCCTCTCCTTCCGCGGCCGACAGTTCGCCAACGCGCTGGCGAAGTTCATGGAAGAACAGGACGTCAACAACCTGAAGGTGTGGACCAGCCAGCTGAAGCGCACCATCGAGACGGCCGGCGGCTTCCACGCACCCATCGAACAGTGGAAGGCTCTGAACGAGATTGATGCGGTAAGTAGTGCTCTGCTGTTCTTAGCACTTTCATGGAGAATCTATTGTCTTTTTTATCTGTAACACTGCATAAGTTAGATTTTAGGGGAAGAGGGCTGCAATTTTGTAAATGTTTTTCTGGTTGTGGGTGGGTGTTTCTTGCAGTATAGTTTTATGCTTATAGTCTCAGTATTCAAGTGTTTGTAGCCTTACATATGTCATTTTACCATGATAACTTGTTCTGTTTCCAAAATCTTCACCCCTTTTTGTAGTTACATTGTAGTTATTTGGTTGGGAGACAATAGCAAGTAGTGCATGCATCTAATAGGTATTCCAACCAAACTATAAAGACACGCAAACTTGTGATAATTTTTGTACTAAAATATAAAGACCCCCACAACACTTGTGATCAAAATTATCTATTGTTAAAAAGTACATGTTTTTAAATGACTCCTATAATTCAAACTGTTACTGAGAAATTTAATGACTGGAAGTTGCCAACCACCAGCCACCTCGGTGGCCGGGTCCCTGGTGACTTGTCCAGCTGCGGTGTTGGAATACCTACGTTTGTGTTCCTTAACCATGCTGCAGGGGGTGTGTGAGGAAATGACATACGAGGAGATCCAAGAGAAGTACCCCGAGGAGTTTGCTATGCGGGATCAGGACAAGTACCACTACCGGTACCCTCGCGGGGAGGTGAGTCGCTGGGGAGGCAGGTAGCCAGTTGGTTAGTTAGTTAGTGTGTAAGACGGAGGCAGAGGTGTGCCTCCGCTGTGTCTCCTTACTGCACGTGTGCTGCTCAGCAAGGTGTGTTTTTTTAGACAGGTGAAAAAACCCTGTGCTCCTCTCAACGAGTAAAGGCATGTTTCCTTTGTGCAAGTGCTGCACCTAGGCAATGGCACAGTATTGAGGTCATCTGAGAGCTCAGACTGGCAGCAGCTCCAAGCCCTGGTAGTCTACACAAAATAATTGTGTCGACGTGACTTGATTCTTTGGCTGCCAAGATGCAGTGCTGTAGAGAATAGAAGTTGGCTCTAGTGTTTGGATGGCTACAAGCTTTTTCAGCTCATTTTTGCTGTATATGGACGATAGCACAAGTGGAAACGTCCACAGTGACATTGTGCTGAATTTTAGATGTAGGAAGACAAAATGGTTCAAAAGGTGGCCAAACATTTAAATATCTGTATCAACAAAAGAAAAGTTAACAAAATACAGAATAATATCCCAATGTCCACCACTAGAGTCTTGAAATCTGGTGTGCAAAAAAAGCTCACAGATAGAATTTTATTCTAAATATATACAGTCCTGCATGGACTTTTGAAAAGAAAACAAAGCCTTGCAGAGTGGCCACATGTGCAGAAAGCAGTGCAGCAGTGCCCCCTACCCACTCCTCCCAACATTGCAGTACAATCTTGTGTGGCTGGAATTTGCAGGGTAAGTGGGAGGAGATGACTTACGCGGAAATAGCTCGCGACTTTCCCGCCCAGCTGGCTAAGCGGGATGGCGACAAGTATCACGTGCCACACCCTTCCGGGGAGGTGAGCCTCGTCATAACAACCCCTCTGTCATCTGTTCAGCTGTTCCCTCACTCCCTCGCTTCGTAACTGTTACAGCTGCATCTTCTGCACAGTTCAACACCATCTCTTCATGTTGTCTCAGCTCATTTTTCTCACTTTTTCAGTGAAAGATCGGTTCCTTTTTCCAGCTAAAAGCTGGCAGATTGCACATCTCAATTCAACTCTAAAGTGCTTGCTAAGCCTTCTCTAGAGTTCAGATTTTTTTAGAGGAAATCCCAAAGCAACAGACAATGCTTAGCATTTAGTGCCTATATCATCTGCACAGTTCGAGGCCCTAAAATGTCCAACTTAATTCAACACTTTTTTGAGAAACGCTGTAAAGGTTATACTACTTATCACAGATTGTATTAAGGATACACATTCATCAACCAAATTTAGACAAAGTACATGCGAGGTGAAGAACCATAAATTGACTGGATTCCTCAGTCCAGAATTTGACAATGTTAGATTAGAATAGCAGACCTGCGTTAGACCCTTTCCAAGCGCAAAATAAAGTCATCTCGAATGCATTCTCTTTACTGTCACATTCAATGTGGCAATGTAATTTTGTGCAGTAAACTGCATTTTCTACCCACGTGTTCAGCAAATCTGTCCACTCATCCATTGTTGTTGTGTTGTCGTGGTTTGGTGACTGTTGCGTAAAGAATGTGTTTTACTAAGAGTAACAAATGTTATAATGAATAACAGGCAATACTGGTTATTAATGGTAAGAATTAATATACATTTTTGTTCTGTAACTTCGTTGTGAACATTTCTGGTGTACAAGTAACACCCATAACTTGATAAGGCACTTGTGAAGATAAATAGAACTTGGTTGTTAAAGAATGTTGGAGTAAATATGGCTGAAAGCCAGCAGAAACCTGGGTTTTGGTTGCATGATTGTTGGAATCTAAATTATTGGTACTAGTATGCAAAGATGACTTAAAGAAACGTACTTCACCACCATCACAATCCTCCCTTCTTCATTATTGATTTGCACTTGGCCTTTGAACATTGATCATTTTCCATCATGACTCAGAGACACACTGTTAAGGTGTCTTCATTTCCCCCTTTAGCATGCAACCAATCATATGTACATGTATATGTATTATAATAACACAACATAACTTTTGTTCCTTTGGAGATCAGGTTCTTCAGCAAAAAAGATTGTATACTAGTATATTTGTACATAATACATGTATATGTACATTAAGAAATAGACCATTTATTCAATATCAAATCTTTCTACAATTTGTAAGGGATTGGGTCCCTCTGTATTATGGTTTCTTAACACCAGATAGTGTTGGAAATATAAAAGATCTGTCAATTAAAGAGAAGAGATTTCTCTAGTGACTTTCTAAGCAGCAACTGTTGTGATGGAGACCCATCATTCTGACTATGTTTTTATTTCCCCCAGTCATATCAAGACCTGGTGGCCCGCCTGGAGCCTGTGATTATGGTAAGTGCTACTCAAAACATCCACGGGGCGATACTACAACCAGAAGTGATTGCTACAAAACCTACACTGTTCAAAAACAGATTTGACACAGACATCTTAGTTTTCAGTACTTTCTGTATTTTCTCATAGTCATCATGATGAAAATGTGCATTGTGTGTTCTAAAAGGTTGTCTGATATTTATTCCATGAACAGCATTATCACTGAGTTGTTGGCAATCTTTCAAAGTTGTGCTGGACAAATATTGCATTTCTTTTAAGTTCACATTTCTATATCATATAGTCCATATAGAGACACAGATGCTAACGTCTGACCTATGTTTTCTCCCTCCAGGAGCTGGAGAGACAGACCAACGTGCTGGTCATCTGTCATCAGGCTGTCATGAGATGTCTGCTGGCGTACTTCCTGGATAAGAACTCAGGTGAATTATCTTTATTTTCTCCCACATGATGTCTTATCTTTCAGAACAATGTACTTTTACAATAGATCAAGATCAATGTACAGTTGCAGATGAACATTGCACTAGTGCATATACATGTACCTATAAAGGGGAGGCAAATGTGCTCATATCAAATTCAAGCAATGCTGTTGAGGAGCAAAGCCTGACTAATTTGCAAGACACTGCTGCAAAATTACTGACATTACTCCATTGATTTTCATACTTTTAGATGATCTTCCATATCTGAAAGTGCCCCTACACACAGTCATGAAGCTGACCCCTATGGCTTATGGTAAGTCCTACTTTTGTCAACAACATACTCGTAGTTCTTCAGTTATTTAGTACTTTGTTATTAGGTTGGTTCACCAGGATGGAATGTGTATGGTTGATGTGTTTTTATTGTCGTGCTCTCCAGGTTGTAAGGTGGAGTCCTTTTACCTGAATATTGAAGCTGTCAACACACACAGAGAGAGACCAAAGGTAGGGCAGCCCATCAGTATGAACTTAATGGACCATAAATATTGTACCCTCCGATTCCCATTTCTTCATACAACAACAGTTTAGTATTACTGATGTTTCGCCCATATTAGTTAGGTTTTGTTGCAGAGTTTGTGTATACATACCCTACATCTACATCAATTTGATTTCCAGTTCTCTTTTTCATTCCTTTATTTGTATTTATTCTTCATGGCAGCAATGATCTTGAAAATCAGACTCTGGTGGTGGGCTTGTTTAGTACTGCATTGTGGTTTGCTTGCCCAAAATTTGTAGTGTGCTTGAAGAGTGTGCACGTTGAGGTCGCTTCCTTTATTGATTTGGCCTGAAGTGATAGCTGTTACTAAGGATGCCCCTGATTACTCCAGAGAGAAATTGTCTCTATCTTAATGGAAGATTGAAAAATAATTTTTGCAAAGTCTTGCTCCTTAACTCTTGTGTTAGCTCAGTTGTTGCTCCTTTTGGTGATAGTGCTATGTTTCTATTTTGAAGTGTAGATGTTCTTCCTCATTGTTCTATGTTTAAACAAGTTCTGTTTTTGTGTCTTGTGTTCCTGTGTTCTGTTGTGCCTGCTCGCAGCTTGCGAAAGCCAGGGAGAATCAGAATAATAATCCAGGTAAAGTAGAGAGTGGAGTTCAGTTGCACCCGATTGCAAGAAACAGGTTGAAATCATACTTCATTGCTTAGGCTTTAAGTTGAGAACAGAGATAGATTGAAGAGGGTTTTTTGTGCAATTTCATGTAGGGTCAAGTGTGAAGTTGTATGCATATATGTATGTTGCTCAGCTGCAAGTTCTGTCTGTGATCAGAAGCCTTACAAGTAGCATTGTTAGAAGTTTGCAGCACATGCATGACAAGCATTGTTCTGTCTGCAATGACCCTGCTTCTTTGGTTTGCACAGGAGCTTGATATGGAGTTGTGTAAAATGTAACTAAGTAACAGCTATGGGAACTGATGCATGCCATATGCATGTTTTGCCATAGGATCAGTGCTCGAGTGCCCCCACTGCTGAGTTGGCTGCTGTCCAACTGTCTGTAGAGTGCTCTGCCTCAGGGGTTAGTTAAACTTCTAGCGATTTACTGTGTGTTTTTGTTTGTTTGTTGCGTTACTTGTTGGAGCATTCCCTCTCGTTTTGTTGAGCTGTATTTTGGCAGTTGCAGGTTGAAAGTTGCACTGGTGTTGCACCAATTTTGTGGTTGTCTTTTGTTTCAGTGAAGAGAATTTTATTTTCAATATTGCTCGTTGAGACCTTCAAACTATTGTTCAAATTGTGCCAAAATTTGTGGCAAGCAATTTACCATCAAATACTTTTTGACAGTGCTTGCTTTCTCTTGTCATCCTTATCTCACTTTTCTCAGCTATGTTTTCCAGTCAGAATCTCAATGTTTGTTTTTGTATGTACTTCAGGCAAGGGCATTATAGTTCTGTTCAATATGGAAGCAGTGGTGAACAATTTCCAGAAAAAATGCTAGACAGACTATTCACATTGAGATGTTTGTAGCGTTTTGAAATTGGCCTTTGTTCAAGGAAACACAAATGACCTGTTCTACAGCAGGGTTTGTCACGACTGGTACACCACATTTAGATACATTTGTTTCTAAATCCAGATTGCTCTTTCAGTCCATAGCCTGTCCAGTTATAGTGTTTTATTCCAGTTGGAATGATTGATTGATCAGTCTGTTTGTTCCCTGTGGTTTCAGAACACTGACCCCCAGAGAAAGAGTGAAGATGCATTGGAGACAGTGCCAGACCACTACTGAAGGAGACAGGGACACACCATGGCAAGAACCAGATCCAACTGGCAAGTTTAGATCACAAGGGAACTCGGCAAAGACTGAAAAGTACTATTTAATGTTGGAAGAATGATAACTGTGATACAAGAAAAGTATATTTACTAAATAAAAAGTATGTATACAATATAGGCTGGAAATTATATATCAGAAAATATCCAAGAGCATTTATGATGGGACAGCTAACACTGGACACTTTGAATGGGAGAGGTTACTTTTTTAGTAAGTGTACCAACTTTAGAACTATCTAAACCATGTGTCAATGTAGTACATCTAGTGACCTTTCTCATGTCAGCTAAAAGACCAAGTGTCTTTTGTTCTGCCCTGATGAAGATATCTGTCTTAAAGACATGTCTTGGACATTGAAAACACCGAAATGTCAAAGTGACCAGTGTTAGTTGGGCCACATCCCGCTTCCTTGCTGCTGAACCGTCCTGTGGATGTCAGTACTTGTAAAAAGCTATAGGTTCTGAGATACCTTATTTTGATGTACATATGTGATTATAAAAGGCCATAATGACTTAAATTACTGTAAAGTAGATGAGTTAACAAGATGATGAGAATACTGTAAAATGTGTCATTTTTGTGTTGCTACATTTTGAGAAGTTTGAAGCTAGTTGGCAGGACGTCATTTCAGAGGTAAACATTTCTCAAACTAGCTCTGATTAATTCATGTTTGTAATGCCCAGTGTAGAGGTTTTAGCCCAATTCATCAAAATTAAAAACACGCCAAAGAAAATTCTACTATACATGTATTTGCCAGATAAGAAACTTAGCTGTGCAATTAGGTTAAATGAAGTCTTCTCATACATTACAGCTATCAATATTGTTTTATCATTGTGTACAAAATGGGACAGAGTAATAGGATGGAGAGAGTAATTTGTGGTTAACAATGTTAACAGACAGGTGTACCTTCACACGTGTAACAAAGTCTAGTGTATATTTTGTGACGGTTGCTCCAACACTGTGAACTATTGTTGTACCGGTACTCAATAGTTTCACTCAATCTTTTAACAAGTTGTTTGCATACTGTAGCAGAAAATTATTTTGTTACATTTCATACTACAAAATGACATCAGCAATTACACTAAAGATCAGTTTTTAATGTGCGTTGGATTTTGGATTGCAATGTGACCGTTGTAATACACAAGGAATAAGCAGTGCAAAATTGGAAAATGCTTAATACTTTTGAGAAACGAAAGTAACACTTGGATGGTAATGTTTACGATTGTCCAACATACATTTAGTATTAGGCCAGGAAAGCTGTCATGTCAGAGACTCGAAGACTTAAGGTTCTGTTGTCGTATTGTGCCAATTCGGAAGTCAAAGAAAACGTCTCAGACATATGTTGTAGTTTTTCCTATGGAAAAAACCTGACTGCTGTTTCTGTCAATTGGTACATATAAATGTATGTATGTAGGTGTTCAAGTACATGTAAGTATTTTGTGCCAATAACTGGGAAAATGGTTGTTGCTATTGAGATACTGTGAAGTTTCTGCAGATGTACATGTAGAATTACCATGTATGTGTACCATATTATTTCCCTGTATGAAGTTTGTGTAAGTGTACAGTAATGTGTATATCTTGTAGGCTAGGCATACGGGTGTGTTGAATTTTTCATATGTGGTAAAAGAATTCTATTTATTCCAGGTGGAAAGTGTCAATATAATTCACAACATCCAAGGAACATGTGAAATTTTCCAATATAGCAAGTCTATCTCCTGACCATGATGTAACTGCTGATCAGTCTTATGTAAAATTATAGGGTAACTTTGTCAATCTGACAACAGAAAAGGGTCTAGCCTATTGAGGATACACAAAACTTCAAACAATGCGAGCCAATAAAAGTACATGTACATGTATCTTACTCTAGTCTCATCTTGACATATGTTCCCAAAAAGTTACCAAAACACACCAAATCACCCAAGAATAATATTCCTAATTCTTAAAGAGGGAAATGAGTAAGTTGGCCAAATCATCTGTGAGTTCATCATCTGTACATATGATTCCCAGTCCAAGTACATTGTATTTTCGATGTCAACTGTACATCTTGTCGACATCGAAAATTTGGAGGTATGTGTTTTTACCTTACAAAAACAGTCACTGATTGAAGAATATTGTACTAACAGTAGTCAATCAGAAATCAGGAATGTCGTATCTCCGCAGAATTTTGTTAGTTCCTGATGCAGATATCAGCTGAGTATCGAGACGTCTAGCTAGTTGTCACAGGTCTTGATGAAGATGGCCATGACATCAGCCATGCCCACATTTGCCGAGTCTGCATGGCACAAGAAATGTGAATGCGTTAATAGTTAATACATTTGCACACTGAAAATCACGGTCTACTAGTATCTTCCAGGCCTATTCACGACGAATCACCCACTGCAAAAATACCAATAAGGTCATTTCTAAAATGGAGGTAAGCTACATGAGAACTCCCGACGGGTACTCAGTACATGTTTACCTTGCGAATAATCGACGCTTCCGGGCAGCTTAGAATACACGATGCGAGGATAGCGGCCGTCTTCACTTCTCTCCCAAGTACAGAAGTTTGAGTTTTGGTCAAGGACAGTCAGCCAGCCGCGTTCACTTGCGCAGTTGTTGGTCAGAGCGATGTGGAACCGCCTATCAAAGATCCTTAACAGAAATGGTCAAATAGATGAGTACGACACTTTCCAAAGGCTAAGGAAATGCTAATCAACTATTTCTAACCATGTTGTACGACTCTACGCGGTCCTAACTTCTAAAGTATATTACGTATGCTAACAGTATTGTGTGCTTATATAATTACCTCGTCGTCGACCCATACATTGCATAATGCCAGTCGCCGTCTATGGAAAAGAAGTCGGTCGTTGCAGTCTTGAGGTCCGTCCATGGCGAAGACACGAGCCGGTCCTTGGAGAACCAGCTGTTCTTGTCACTCCCTGTCCCGTTGAAGATGATGTCCCGAGTCTCCATATTTGGACTGAACGTGTACAGAGACACCTTCACCTGGTAGCCAACGAAGACCAGAACAACGTCTATTTCGCGTGACCATGGCTGCTATGCAGCTAGATTTTGATATACTGTATACATACATGCATATCGGAAACTTCTAATCCATGTTCATGGATGTTGGCAATAGTAATTCGGTATCTTGATGAACTGGAATAACACCCTTTTCGTTGATTTCGCGGTCTTTTCCCTCCGTCGATCGAGTCGTTAAAGCCCTCCCTTGCCAAGACATTTTCAGAAAACCCCCCTTAAGAGCACAGTCACATTTCCAAGCTGGGGCCCGGGCGGGTTGTTTGCGTGAACAAAAAATAAACAATTTGTATATACAAATATATTTGAGTACTAGTATACACAAAAAGTGCTCAAACTTTTTTTGTGTGCTTTGCTGTCTTATATCATAATTTTCGTTCCATACGACTGCCCGGCCGGGACCCGGGTTGGGAAATGTGACCGCGCCTTAACGCGGCACCTATTTATCATCATACTATTGAAAGTCGTTGAGGGTATACGTTTGGTACCTGTGTGACGTTCAGTGTTTCCCACACATCGACGTCCCTGCTCCTGTAGTGCCCCTGCCCCGCCACCTCCGGGTCCCCGGGCATGTCGGACGGCGTATCGGCGGCGCTCCAGAGTGGGTGACTTCTTTCGTTCACATTCGACACGATCTTGAACACCAGTTTCCATTCACATGCTGTGGCAACAGAGAAATACCCAGCTATTTATAAGAATTGTTAGTACACTGAAATGTTCAGTGCCAACAAAGTTGTCAACCGTTATGTAATATTCCAGGGAAGTCCAGCTAACGATAGATGATTCATCCAGTGGATTGGCATTGTAATTGCGTTTCTGGTCAATTAACGCATGCAATGCCGGTGCATGGTGCCTTGTGTTACAAACAAAACCATCCATTTGTTGTAGAGGTGCTTAAATAAATCATCGTGCAGGTAATGTGATCTAGGTAACTTTACTAGGTTACCCTCGTGGCCCAGTGCCTGGAGGAAGTGTTCCCCTTTTTCTTGTGCTATATTTTCAGTCCGGCTGCGAGAAAATTAACAATCAATAAGTATCTACAACAACCTTTCCCGTCACAACAGCTGACATTTGTACGACACATCTACAACTGTCCAAACTTTGGCAAAAACCCTCAGTTTGCTGTCGTAGAGCTAGACCTACGTAGTGTACCTGCACCGTGTATCAGTCGTTTTACCGTCCGAACGCAGCTTCCATTGCCTAATAAAGTTGCCACACAAGTTACCGTCGGATTGTTTCTATGTTTTTCTTTTTTGTGTATAGTATCCTAACAGGGACTGGAAACATGGATGTAGAAACCGATGATAATTTTTAAGACTACGACCAATCAAACATAACATTGTTACCGGTCGTGCGGTCACATTCGCTGTAGGTCGCCATACTATTTTTATGTCTAAGAGTTTTCAAGCAAGCTTTGACCGAATAACCACCGACAAAACACGAAGACAAGCTTTATGGTGACAAGGCTGCTGAATTTTGTATAACTTCCATATTACATGCACGACTAGCTATAGCCCACAATACCCCTTACTAATGTTGCGATGGAACAGCGATCGTATGATGAATGTGAACAGGCCTTTACTCACGTATCTCTGGCTCCGGACACGAGACCGGGTTCTCAGCCTGTTTCACCTCCAACTGAGCCTGCCGTGCTTCCACTTGGGCCTGCCTCGCCTCCAAGTTAGCCAGCCTCCGCTGCAGTCCGACTGTGTCGGCGTTAACGCCACTGGATTCAGCTCCCCAGCAGCACGACCCGGGCTGGTAACAAGGCAGAGTGGTTCTCTGAGCGGCGGTGTGGTGGCCGCAGAGGCAGATAACCAGGAGGATGATCCTCTGTGCTGTAATCGCCATGGTGGTGAAAAAGTAACGCGAATAACTCAGTTAGCTGTTCTCCTAACAAAATCGTGCGAGTTCCTCCTCGTCGGAATGATCCGATCCTCGAAGTTTTTCACCTGTTTTCTCAACAAAAACCATGCTCAACAAAGGTCATGGAGGGTCTTCGGCGCATTAACATACTGCGGCATGCAATACTTCTCTTTTCTTCTACAGCCATGGCGTTGTGTGACACTGCACTGTCTGTTTTTGTAAACTGACACTGGTCGATGTTGTAGTCAGCACAATCGGTGGAATAGTTCATTCTCTTTAATTCTATCCTATGGGGGTACCGGTAATGGGTGTTGTTTGTTCACAGTAGTGACAAACTTTTTCATTAAACTTCCCGAGCCGGACAAACACAAAACTCCGGAAGTCCATATCAAATTGGTGACTGAAAATAAATTCCATTGGCCCTGCTTTGGCAAAAAAAATGAACTCGCCCAAATACAGGTGTGTTGTTCGCCATCTTGAGTTACCTTATTACACTTCTTGGCTAGATCTGACATCTGAGGTATGGCTCAGTTGGCGGAGGGCAAAGAATTTCTGCGTTACCTGAACAGTCATTTCAACGGTCAACAGGTGTTCAGGAAGACCTCACTTAGGGTAATCTACAACGAACAGTACACCGCCTCAAGACCTGAAGGTCGCCGCACAGGCACTTCCTTCAGCAGTGTTCTGTATGTCTTGAGCCAGGAGGACATAATCCGAATTGTCTACCGCCGTAATGGGAACCACCAAGTCAACATTGAGTATTTCCCTACGACTGGAGGAGGGGTGGAAACGTCCACAGTCAACACACAAGATGCTGACCTCTACAATATCTACCATGCGAATTGCACAGCCCAAACTTCTACGCGACATGGAGGTACTCAACTTGTTTTATGTGTGTTTACAAAGAAGGTTAAATGTTCTTTGGGACAGTAGGAAAATTTGGGTGTCACGATATGCAAATGAACTCCTAAGGTTTGAGTAGTGCTGCTCAATCTGTTGAGGCTGTAATTGATACTGACAAATGACCTTGACCTCCGGGTTTGTCAAGTCCCTTTCATTTCTTTAACGCATTAACACGAGGCTCGGCCTTCCGTTTGAGAATATAAGCCTTTACGAAAACAATTAATGGCATTAACAAATCTTTTTTTAGTTCTTTTATAATATTGTTTAATAACGGCTAATGATAAACCCGTCACGCGTCACGCCACCGTAAGTAACGAGCTGTGACCCATGAAATCCTTTCTTCAGTGGTGTTTTCTTACCGGGGGAAAATAGTTTCCCCTCTGTCGCAAGTTGTTTGCGTTGCTTTTGACCGTGCGTACGCCCAGAAATATAATTTATGCCGTCCGGCCTTCCATCCGTGATTTGTCTCACCAGGAAGGCTACAATAATATGTATCCACACCTCCTTGGTGGCGTGTAGGCACACAAACGCAAGACAACATGCACATCAGTTTTGTAACAGGTTTGGCAATAATGGGTTGCACCGTATTGTTGGCATTCCTCGTGTTCTGCTATGTTTTATACATTCCAAATCGTTAGACTATTGCATAAGGTATGCAGCTGCTGTTTTCTTGTTTTGTCTCCCACGTTTTAGCCTGAAGCTGAAAAACATTCCCTCACAGCACTCATCCGGTAAACCAAATGTCACAATATCTTTGTATCTGTATCTGTATAGCCGGTATAACCGCCCTTGGGCGTAACACACCAGCTTCGCAGTACGCGGCGCGGCGGCAGCTACATTACACCGAACGACCTGTTACACCTAACTCTTAAACCAAACCAAACCAAACCAAACATTGTTTGCACCTAACTCTAAACATTGTTCGCGTAAGTTTGCATTGTTTGTCATGTGATGCATGGTTAAAGACGCATGATGCATGGTTAAAGACGCGCTGTCGGGCTGGTACCTCGGGCGATACGGAATACCCCTTGTTGGATTCTATATGTACAGTATAACTATAACGCACATTCGCGGTGTTATAGTTTCTCGGCAAGAGGCCATATCGACATCACTGCTTTACGACTCAATACGACAAGGGCCGAAGTAAAATGAGATACATGCACTGGACTTACAAAAATTGAGCAGTGTTGACAAGTGATCTTCCTGTCTCTCTCATAATTATTAGGGATGTGTAATGTCTGCTCAAGGAGGGCTGAAGGGACGGAGTTTCTTATGTTCCTTCACGAGCAACGCCTCACTACTGTCGTGTCCAAGGCAGCGCTGAAGAGAGTGTACGAGGTGCCCTACACCAAATCCAAGCTTAACAGGAACTCCAACCGTCGGCCCGGCACGCAATTCTCCCAGGTGTTCTTCATGTTGCGTCGGCAGAAGAAAGTACGAGTCAGAAGCGACCGAAGTATTGTCATCACGGCGCACGATCCTAATCTTTCTGGAGACGGCGCTGAAGAAACCGAGATTGCGCTTCCTGAGGACCCCGTACAGAAGGAACAAATGCTTCTGGAGTGGATGAATGAGCATAGGTACAGTGTATAGCTGGTCGATTTTTCCATGTTCTGCCACTGCAAACGCCCCTCAGACTGTTCACTAGTAGACTATGGTCATCAATTGCTAAGCAGCTCTGCCTCTCGGTGGCAAAAACTGTAATTGCACCCTTATACATTAGTGAGGTAAAGCCTTGTTTTATTTATTTCGTGTGTTGATTTCTTATTAATTCAATGCAGAGGCATCCTAGTGAGAGACAAGTTCGACATCGAAGTCAGCTGCGAGTTGGACGGTGAGCAAGGGAATATCATCATCAACATGGAGAGGAATCGGAGGAGAGATTCCGTCACTCAACTTTCTCTGAAGAACACGGGATATTTCGACGTAGTGTTCCTCGGAGGAATGATGATGTGGAAGAAGCCACAGTATACGCTCAAGGATGCGCACCGGGTGACTAATGGGGTACGGACACACACTATTGGTCCAGGTTAGCGCGAGTTTTTTTTTTTTTTTTTTGGTATAATAACGTTGATCATTTCATTTAGGAGAAGGCACTAAGGTATCTCATTATGAGGTCTGCTACTTTATCATGGTCTTTATCATGAAGAAGAATTCGTCTGTTTCTGTCATCAGGCTATTCACAGCTGTGCTTATTGTGTACAATTGAAGGAAGTGAATTTACCTTGCACATCGGTACGAATGTATTGGTATACTTGATGACAAGTAACAAACTTATTTTGTCATCGTGTTCCTCAGGAGCTGAGTACAGTGTCGAGCTTCGCATCCGCCCCATCCGTGGATACACCCGCCACTACGTCCCTGTCGTCTTTCATTTCCGTCGGCAAGAGGACAATAGGAACTTCCACATCGCCAGGTTTGTTCAGTTTTGTAGGTTTTCGTCATGTCATTTTCACTGGCTACTCTGCGCTCAGGAGTAGTACGAGCCGCATGAGGACGTTTTTTTGGTAGGTTTTTTGACGTGCTCTCCTCTGTACATGGAACCTACCTGCTAACATCCATTCGGACTGCAACCTCTACCATGTACCAATGAAGCGGTGCACAGAAAACAAAAACCCGTACATAGTGATGTATAATTAGGAAAGCTAACCATACAACCACGACGTGCTCCTACAGGTTCTTGTCTGCCGGCGTCACAGATGACGTCATCCGCTCCATGAGACCCACCCAGCCTTACTCGCCGCCGCAAGGGGGCGCGCCTGACGACTTCGACGAGGAAGTGGACGGAGTAAGACCCGAGCCGTAAGTAAAAAGAGTTGTTTTTTTACAGTCACCTAGAATAGTCCGTAGTTTGTTTGTATTTTTCTGTGCATGTGGATGATCGTTTAAATTAGACAGTCAGCACTTTTCAACTTCGATTAATGTCACTTTAGATCAAAGACTGACTTGAAACTATAAGGATTTATAAACATATTCCTACAATCCTGATCGGAGTTTCTGTTGTGAATGTATTCATAGACCTGGAAGAAATGGACTGGAGATGGGCCGGCTTGATCAGTATCCCATTTCGCACGACGTTCGTAGACAAATCAGGGCAGACAACCAAAATCTAGATGGACTCAGGTAAGATCTTTTATAGTATTATCAGATCTAGACGTCCTGAGCGCTTGCTATAACATTATCCGTTAGTCATAGCTTTCCGTTTGCAGCTTATGTGTTCATTTAGCTGGTGTGTTAGGCCAGGGACGGTTATACAGGTACAGAATTTGAAGTGGCTATAATATATTGCGGCTGTGGGTTTGCTTAAGACCCAAAACCTGTAATTTTTTTAAAAAGTTTGTGATACCTCAAGCTTGATATATAGCTTTCGACTATATGCCTTACAACAGGACACAGTTGTCCATTCTATTCGGCACCTTCCAAGAGTACGGCACCCGGTTCGGGAAACTTCTGCACGCCGAAGAGATCCAGATGGAGGTGGACATCAGGATGTATGATCTGGAAAGAACAGTCATGGGCAGGGACTCCAACCCCCGGCTTCTCACTCTGCAGGTTTGTACACATGTGAACGCGCGCATGTTTTGAGAGGCCATAGCTATATATAGATATAAATACATACAGAAAGGATACTGCATCCAGCAACATATATAATCTATTAGTCGAAATATTGTGAAGGTTTCACCCCAGAAAACGCATTTTATTTTATTTTATTTTCCGTCATTTTTATACAGGGTAACCCAATTCAGTGATGGCACTGCTTTTCAACGGGGCCCTGTATTACACAGCACAATACAACAATCACATACAAATAATAACATTAGCATACAAAAATTATACAATAACAGTAATAAATAGTAATAATAACAAAAAAATACATCATTGTCCAGTCCAGTCATTGTCATTGTCATTGTCCAGTCCTATATGTTGGCATGGAGGGGTCAGAGGTCAGGCCAATTCTTACATTTCATTTTAAAAATGGACATGGACGGACAGGTCTTAATAGCAGTTGGCAGCCTGTTCCAGAGGGCAGGGCCTCTGTAGGAGAATTTGCGCTTTCCACATTCAAGGCGAACAAGCGGCAGTTTCAAAGATAGGTTCTGGCTGTGTCTGGTGGGGTATCTGTGGGATTCAAAAGCCATCTGGAAGTTATCTATGTAGTCTGGGAGTTCATTGTTGACTGCCTTGTACATTGATTGTAGCAGGTGCAAGTTTCTCCGGGATGATAAAGTTTTCCAACCTAGGGTAGATAACTCACCATCGCCAACATGATGTGTATAACGTAAACGAAGGATAATTCTCACTGCCCGGTTCTGGTACTTTTGCAATTTGTCAGACAAGCATTTACCACAGTTTCCCCATATCACATCGCAGTAGTCTATTTTAGGTAGGACTATACAGTTAAACAACATTATAAGAGTGTGTTGGGGCAGACATGGGATGAGGCGTCGTATGACTCCCAGTCTGGAAGAGACCGCATTACACAACTTGTCAATGTGAACTTGCCATGTTAAGCTGGAGTCAAGCCAAACGCCAAGGTACTTATAACTGGAAACAACTTCCAAAATGGTGCCAGAAAGGATAACTGACAATTGTTCTGTAACTGACTGCAGCCTACGTGTGGTCCCAAAAGCATAGCTTTGCATTTATTAACATTGAGAGTCAGTTCATTTGTTTCCAACCATGTCTCAATATTACGAAGATCCGCATTGAGAGCATTGTTTACATCTGTGACTGTCTTGGACGCATAGAAGAGAGCAGTATCATCTCGTCGTTCCTTTTAAGATAGTGTAGAATGTAGAGGTGTTATGGCAAAAGTTAAGTTAGTAACGACAGACAGGTTTTTGACAGGTTCCTGGATTGGCCGAGAACCGCCCGTCCGTGCTGAAAGGAGACCACCTGTTTGCCTATGAACACCCGCGAGGACAAGTCGGCACGACTCGGTACAAGGGCTACGTGCACCACGTGGAACTCAACCAAGTCAAACTTGGGTTCCATCGACGGTAAGTTTGCTTCTTCAGATCAATCAACATTGCAACATAGAGCAAACTTCAGAACTCTCAATAAAGATTCTTATTTTGTCAACAATTTGTTTCACTTCAGACAAAACAAGACTGATGAACATATCTTTTATCCTTTTCAGACTTTTGGACAGGTACCTTCCAGGTAAAACGTTTGACGTGCGGTTCACCTTTAGCCGCCTGCCGCTGCAGCTGCAGCACAGGGCCGTCAGGACCGTGCCCACCAGGAACATGATGGAGCAGGTCCTCTTCCCTGAGGACTCCTCCGTGGGACTCTTCCCTACAGCCAGGGATCCAGATGAAGATCTGAAGTGAGATGACTATCTGCCCCTTACCTAGATTATAATAATTTTGTTATAATTTGTTTGTATTCATTCATTTTTATCATTGTCTATATACATGTATGTTAATCTTTTTTTCACGCCTGACTAACTACCGAGTGATTGACACAGATAGATGAATGAAAATAAATGATACCCACTGATAACTGTCTGTATCCGATCAGCCTACTGAAGGTTTTACATTTTTACATACAGTTTCTGTTTGGTCAGACACATTGATACGTGACATCTGTAACCCAACGTGAACAACAGTGTCCGGTTCCTTTTCTTCCAGCTTCTTCGACCGGATGCTGCGAGAGAACGAAGAGCAAAACCAGGCTGTGCGGCACATCGTGGCCGGCACCTCCCGCCCTGCCCCGTACCTCATCTTCGGGCCTCCGGGAACGGGCAAGACCATGACAACGGTGGAGGCCATCAAACAGGTGCCTATACATGTACATGTTTGCCCCACTCGGCTAAGCATAGGTCACATATGTTACCAAACATGCATATGTATATAGATGTCTTGGTAATATATCATCATAAGAATCATAGCGTATTTTCGCTAGTTTTTTTAAGGCACGGACTTACAGTGCACGATCACAGCTTCCATCTACTGCAGACTCACTGAAACTACTGTGCCGGTTGCCGCCAAACTTTGGCTTTATTATGGGACTCGTAATACCATCTTTTCTATTCTTCTTTTAATTTTTTTATTTTGCCAAAATCAGAAATCGTTTGAATTTCTTATCTAAGTATATACTATTTCAGGTCTATCGACTCCACCCGAAGAGTGTGATCCTCGCCTGTGCCCCCTCGAACAGCGCGGCAGATCTCCTGGCACAGAGGATCATCAGGGAGGCGCAGATCAGGAGATCTCTCTTCAGGATGAACGCCCCTTCACGATCCAGCAACACTCTCCCACAGGACCTGAGGGTATGGCAGATTTAATGTTCCAATTGTGTTGATTAATTGATTACTTGCTATATGCATACAATGTGATGGGGTTAACGTTAGGGTATAGCTAGCGTCCATATTGTCCTCCAATAATATTGTATCTGTATTACGTTTCCTCATCTTAAAATGACATCTCCCGACGTCAACGGGTGAGTCGCCAAGCAGTGGCTATTTATTTTGTGTTCACAGATGCGACTACGTACCTATTATTACGTAAGGTACTTGACACCATGCCAGGACTAAGCAATGCGTTCAACACAACATCGTTTGACGTAAGTTCAGATATGTGTACTAAATGATGTTTCCATTCATAAGGACGCCAGGTGTTGTAACTACGATACCAGTGGTGAGGTGTACTTCCCAAGCAAAGAAGAGATCATGCAAAAGTACCGCATCGTCGTCACCACAGTGGTCACGGCTGGAAGGTAGGACCGTAGGAGTGATTTTTTTGTCTCCACCTGTGTGTATACTGCATCTACTAATGTCAGCGTGTGATTGGGATCTCTAATTTTGCTTTGCGAAGTTGGATTATCATGGACAACCAAATTAAGTTTTTTCACACGTTTTGAAGCAGACTTTGAGAACAAGGTATGTCAATTGGAACGAGAAAAAACGAGTTGTTTTCTTTTTAGTCGAAAACCTTGCTCTATATGATCCCATGACGTGCTCAAGCTCATATTATGCGTCTATCTCACATTTATTTACAGGCTTGCCTCAGCAAACTTCCCGCCCGGCCACTTCACTCACGTCTTCATCGACGAGTCCGGACACGCCGTCGAGCCGGAAGCCGTCATTCCGGTGGCCGGGCTGCTGTCTCCGGAATCCGGCGGGCAACTCGTGCTGGCTGGAGACCCCAAACAGCTGGGTCCCGTACTCAGGTCTCCTGTGGCCATAGCGTGTGGGCTTGGTAATCACAATGATCCTTGCCAGGGTCTCCTTGCTTTACTACAAAAGCTACACTATGTCATTGAATGGGCATATCTAATGTTATCAAATCTCAAACTCTCAAATGGAAATCTACGCATGTCTATGGTTGAGTGAAGAACGGAACAAAGGCATGTTTCTGCTACATGCAGCAGACCTACACCGGCGATGTCGTGATGTAGCGTTAGGGTCCTGACGTATGACGGACATAGACAAGTTGAATGAAGCCTCGTTAAGTGGGAAGCCACTAAAGTACGACTTGATGATTATTCATGCCACTTTTGCTCTGAAAGTTTTTGCTACACAATGTTCCCCTGTAGGCATGTCCCTACTGGAGCGGCTGATGACGGAATGCCCGGTCTACAAACCTCGCGCAGACGGACAGTACGACTCCAGAGTGCTGACCAAACTCGTCCGGAATTACCGGTCCCATCCCGCAATCATTGAGGAACCCAACGAACAGTTCTACGATGGAGAGTTGGAGGTGCGATGAGAAGAAAAAAATGTCTTGAAGTTGCAAGTGTTTCTACTAACAATGCGTACCAATTTTGTAGCCATCTATCCATTCAATACATATCTTTTAATTAATATGTATCTGTATATCTACATAATATTCCGTACATAAATCAGGATAAGGATAAAGTTCGAAATCATGGGACATGGCATCTGTTGATGATATGGCCCTTGTCATCACCAAAAGACGGCCCATTAACTGACACATTTTAATGTCCACAGGTTTATGCTGACCCGCTGGTGAGGGAATCCTTGTGTCGCTGGGAACATCTTCCGACGGAAGACTTCCCAGTGATTTTCCACGGCGTGGAGGGAGAGGATAAGAGAGAGGGGAACAGCCCGTCCTTCTTTAACGCCAGAGAAGTCGCCACAGTCCTGGACTACGTCCATGAGCTTCTGAACAGCCGCGGGACTGTCCGTGTCAACAAGAGGGACATCGGCATCATCTCTCCCTACCGCAGACAGGTACACCCTTGTGATTGAAATCCTGCCAAACCTTTCCTTATAATCTTTTACGATATGTGTAGCTTAGATTAGTACCTACGCTGTACGTTCTTATTATATTTGTATGATGAAACAGACTTTTGCTGTTATTGCAGTCTTATACAAGACAGTACAATCTCATTAAGATCAGTACCTACGCTGTTCTTATTATATTTGTATGATAAAACAGACTTTTGCTATTGCAGTCTTAGACAACCTCCCATGGCCACATACGACAAAGTACAAGGCTATAACGCACATTCAATTAAATAGGAAAAAACGTTCACAGCAGGACGGACCGGGTGCTAGCTATGGTGACGTTCATCTCCCTCCTTATACGGCCGTGTGTCTAGGTTCAGAAGATCCAGCAGCAACTCCGGCAGCAGTACCCCACTGACCACGCCCAGCTAAAGGTGGGGTCTGTTGAGGAGTTCCAGGGTCAGGAGAGGCTGGTCATCATCGTCACCACTGTCAGGAGCCCCAAGCTCGAATTCCTCCGCCTAGACAAGGAATACAACCTGGGCTTTCTTAATAATCCCAAGGTGAAGTGGGGTACCTGCCTTGTCATTGTTAGAAAGGGCCATAGCTATGAAATTGAGTCTGCTTCTTTGTGCCTATGTCCTGAAAATCACATTACATTCTTTATGACGGTCAGAGCTGAGACGCGTGTCCATGGGCGCGCACGTGTATGTGTGCGTGTGTGTGAGTGTGTGTGAGTGTGTGTGTGTGTGTGAGTGTGTGTGCGTGTGTGTGAGTGTGTGTGCGTGTGTGTGAGTGTGTGTGTGTGTGCGTGTGTGTGAGTGTGATTTCTCTCATGAATTCTCGTTATTTATGCACAGCGCTTCAACGTGGCCATAACCAGAGCCAAGGCCCTGCTGATTGTTGTGGGAAACCCGCACACACTCTGTCGAGACGAGCACTGGAAGAAGTTGGTTTTCCTGCTTTCCTCAGTCCCTCTCAAAGAAAGAGTTGTCAAAGTTTCACAAAAACAGGAAAACAAATAGGTAGTGTCTGTAAAAAAAGTCCGTCTAGTTGGGTGTCTATATTTTCCTGAAGATCAAAACAACAAACGACGAGCATGCCCCAGTCTGTACTCTAATAAAGTAGCCGCACACCCTTTTCACATTTGTATGATGGCCAAACCAGGTTAGCTGCTTTGGGTCGCCTGACAGCATGAACCAATAGGATAATGGAATGATTATCAATCCCCTACACACACAGTTTCCTGGAGTACTGTCTGGAGGAGGGCGGCTATCACCCAGACAGCTGCGAGTTCCAGTTTAGTCAGGACCGCGCGGAGGATGTCGTGCAGCGGTTTGCTGCAGTCCGCTTGGACGGTGAGCAGATAAAGCCCAACTTTACGTACCAATGTGCATAAAAGTCCTAAAGCGTCAGACCCATGAATATCTCGGAGGTCTCTTCAGGTGTAGAACAAGTTAGATCAATACTCCCTCCCCTCATCTATCCCTTTCCCTCATTTACAGCCGTTGACCTACTCACTAGGATCATGATATAGGCTATAATACGAATATTTACCGCACACATGGCGCTGCTCGTCTTGACTTGGCGGGCTTTAATTTCTGATATATAGAAAGATTATCCTCTGATCGTAAACTTAAACATTTTGTGTTGTGTTGTGTTGTGTTGTGTTGTATTGTATGGTATGAGCTTTCATGTGGAAGGGTTTTGCAGTTTTAACTATTCATTTGCTTTGTTTTTTTCACTGGTTTGTTTGCTTCGTTTATTGTATCACAGATACATCCAGACCTCCTTCTGACGACAACAATGACGCAAGTCAAGTGCAGCTTCAAGAAGAACCAGAATGGCGCCGTGAAGATTGAAAACGTCTTAAACATCTTTTACTTAACTTTTAAGCTAAGTGTCCTATAATAATCTTACAGGAAATCGCGTTCGTAATGTCAGTATTTTACAAAGTAATTCGATCACGTTGCGATTTACGTTACATTTCAGATCATTCTAGTATTGAATCTGTCAAGTGGAATGTTTCATTTCTAATCTGTGTTTGGAGTGAAGTGTTGAAAAAAGAGGCTATAATCAGAATGCACTATTAACAGGATTTTTTTGTCCAAACATTTTTTCTTGCACTATGTCTTGAATAGCAAACTGATGGCTGATGCCCAGCCCCCTTTTTAAACCTTGCGATCTAGATCAATGTTGATCTGTCTTCAATGGCCGACCGTGTTGTTTTTAACCGATAATCCTGTCTATTGTTTAAATGTGTAGTTTTCTTGATTCAATAAAGATGATGTCGAACAAAATGTATGCACTTATATCGTCTATCAACTGAAAATCTCTCAGGGTTGGCTGTTTGCTTTGGTCAAAGTGTGTCGTGACGTACGAAGAAGACAATTAATTCTAAAAGTAGATGGTTTTAGCGGGGGAAGAAGCTGGGTGTAGACATCGATGATAACTTTCAAGACTACGACCAATAAAAAAAAACATTGTTACCGTACCGTGGTTCTCTGAGCGGCAGTCTGGTGACCACAGAGGCAGGCAACCAGGGGAATGATCCTCTGTGCTGTAATCGCCATGGTGGCGGTGAAAACGTAACATGAAGAACTCTGTTAGCTGTTCTCCTAACAGAACCGTGCTACTATTTCCTCCTCGTGGGAATGATAAGGAGTAGACTTGTTTCCTCTATGTTTTTCACCTGTTTCCTCAAGAAAAACGTTAAGGAATGTGAGCTGCAGGTATCCATGCGTTCAGGTAGTTCCTAAGGTCGTGGAGGGTCATGGGCGCATTTACATACTGCGGCACGCAGTACTGGAAATGTACATGGAAACGTAAGAAAACCTTTGTTGTTATTTTTCATTTCTTTTTCCCTCACTACTCGGCGTAGTTTCCTACGTCACTACCAAATATCGGGTGAATGTACCAGGAACACGGCGCGTCCGCGGAAAAATACCCCTTTATGAATCATGCACCCCCTCCTCTTTTCAGCATTTGGAATAGTCCGACATAGGTATATGCATTGTTTGATGTCCTCGGTGACGTCAGGGGATTTCACACAGTGGGTATTTCCCGGCCAACGGTTTTCAGACCACGCAGCATAGTTTTCTGGATCGTTGTCTGTAGTTCAGACGTACTTCATAGCCAGAGAAGAATTCAAGGGTTTTGCTCGTATTTAAGGTAAGAGAACCTTTCTATCATTGTTGGGAGACTTAAAAGTGTTTCAGTTACCAGTACATGCATTGTATTCAACACACAGCCAACGTAATGGTGCTTAAAGTAGCCAAAGGTTGAGGTATAAACTGAGTGGCCATGGCCATGGCGACAACTTGGGGGTAGGAAACAACGTAAGGCCACACCAATTTAAGTTGTTGGTTCTCGGATTTTTTCAGAAAAAATATGAAGCGACAGGGCGAAAAAAAATAAAAATAAAAACAGGTCTAGGCATCCTATTATAGCCCCAAATGCTACAATATGAGCCATGAAGTCAACAAAAAAGGCTGGGTTAAAATTTAAAGTATAAATTTTGAACTTTTAATCAAACCACTGCATTGATAGATGGAAAAAACTGTAACAACTAGGAAGAAAAGGAATTTCCTCAACTGTTGGGGGCAAAATATGAGCCATTTTTTAGTTGATTCAGAACCAGAATCTTTTTTTTTTTTTTGCAAATCAGAAAAAAATGAAGAGGCGAATCCGAGAACCAACAAATTAAATTGGTGTGGCCTAAGGATACAACGCTACGTTATAGTACGGGGACATGGCACATATTTGAATAGCCATTTTAAAAGTTGACGGTTTTGTGGTAAGACTGGTAAAACTGAACGGTCTGGTATTTCCTGTTCGTACCAGTGACTGCATGGAACTGGGTCTTTCCGAACGCGGAAGTACGCAACGGCCTGGCAAAATTACGAACTAGACTTCACCACAGGTTGGTCAGGGGGGACGTGACACTGAACCCTGGAATCTCAACAAAGTCATGGGCAGAAATGTAACGGAAGGTATAGGAAGCTGTTCTCTCTGAACCTCTAACATTTAAGGGCCATATGCCACAGGTGTCCCTTTATATAGAATTTTACATGAGTTCTTTTCCTCCTAACTAACCACTGACATGGTCAGCTTAAATACATTTCAAGTTTTGGCTTCCCTATGTTACATTACTAAGGTACAGAGGAGTATTAATCAACATTATCCTTCATGCATCCCTCCCCGAAACCCGGCAGGTACTACGGTATGGTTTACACCTGACCTTTAGCATGTGGGTTGCATGTGTATGACGCAACACCGAAACTGAGCCAACAGGTAGGGCTGGTGTCAATGGTTTCGGTGACAATAAGGAACCGTGTTTTCATATGTGTGTGACGAAACAAGTGCAACTTTGATCAAGTGACGAAACTTGATCAAAGTTCTTTCTATATGCCAGACTGATCGGATGATAGAACACGCCTGTGGCAAGTGGTCAAGCGTGAAGCAAGAAAACAGTGCCACATCGGGAAGAGAACTCCGAAACTGCTTTGTTCTTTGGCGGTTGCTATGTAGGTAAACAGATCGATATCGTGTTTCATATACCGTGCTGAAAGAAAATAGCAATACCGCGACTATGAGTGCGCTTTTGAGCAGTACCTATACACGAGAGAAATAATTTAAAGAGAGAAAAGTGTGAGATTCGGGGAGAAGCAAGCTCCGTCGGATCCTGAGAACTTTGGGAACCCTTAACATGTTAACACATGTTCCCATCACGACAAGCGTCTAGATGCCAATCGTCGTCTCGTGCACTGTTTTCCTGAGAGATCGTGATTGAAATTTCGCATCAGAACGAACTTTTAGGGACTCCTCGCCTTCGAAGCTTCCATCGGTACATCACAGTAGGGTCGACGGTCCGCGTGGAACTTTGCTCCGCGGACCCGAAGTTTACATGTGCACAAACGCATGTTATGACAAACGCCAACATTGTTTATATGCACTGCTAATATCAACCAGGTAAATTAAAGTAAGTTCCTTTTCCCTAGTTACAGACATGGCGTACATCGGCAAGAGAACGTATCGCAGACCAAACATTAAGGCTTCTCCACAAGAGATGCTTGCAGAGGGAACGGAGTTTCTCCAGTTCCTTGAGGGAAAAAACCTCTCTTCTCAAGATATCACCAAGCAAGAATTGAAGAGTATATACGAAGGGAGCTACACCATGTCGAAGTGGCCCTCTCGCCGTCGTAGGGGCACTCCGTTTTCGCAAGTACTTCGTGTCCTGAGGAACCATAACAAGGTACAAAGATTTTTTTCATATTTTTTAAATATTATTCTTCATATTTTATACAGGGTTGCCCACTCAGTGGTAACACTGCTTTTCAGTGGGGACCTGTACATGCAAGATAACTAATACTTTCGTTGAACTAAGCAATGTGATTTTACGAAACACCAAAATGAATAAAGTAAGCAATGTCCTACAAATTAACATCATATACAGCTGTATACAAATAAAATCTGTGTTACCGTAACCCACCACCAACCGTTTAAGTTAATTGTGCGTTTGCAAACTGTGCAGGTCCGACATAATATTATTTGTTTGATGTGTAAACTGTTCTATGCGGATGTAGCAGTGTGTAGTTTTTCAAATATTTGTTAACTTTCTTACTAGTCTGTTATGTATTTTTTTTAAATCCCTGTGTCCTGTAGGTGTGCTGGATTGATAAATACGAGTAGAAGTGTTAGATGTGTTTTATTTTCTAGCATGAATTCTCTGCAATGTTCTGGTGATGTTTATAATAATGAACATCCTTCCGCTGACAGGTTCAGATCGGGCGCTCAGGGAACGTCATCATCGGCACGGGAGAGTTCCTGGTGGCCAGGGGGACCACGGCGGTGGACCAGCACCTCGGGCTTCGCAGCCTGCAGTCCCTGGAGCAGACGCAAGGGGACGCCGATGACGGTGCCACAGAGACAGCTCTTCCTGATGACCCTGCCCTGCGGGAACAAAAACTGCTCGGGTGGATAAAGACCCACAGGTAGCTCATACACGCCCATCACCGACACACTGAATTATATTACTACAACTGCATTGCACAGGGTGTAAAACCATCAGACATATATATGTGCATGATATTTGTAATTGTACTCATTCACTCATTGCAGGGATGTCTTGGTGAAGAACAAGTTCAATGTCGAAGTCAGCTGTGAGCAGGACGGGCAGAATGGCCACATCGACATCTCCCTCCAGAGGCACACTGACGTCTGACGGTCAGGAACACGTCCGGGTCCAGTGTACGGCTTCTGGGCTGTGAGATGGTGTGGAGGAAGCCGCAGTTCGTTCTGTCGGACGAAGATCACGTGGCAAGTGGTTTGGGGGAACACCTACTGGGCCCAGGTATGAACGAGTATTACATTTTTGAGGTGGACTTAGTTATCCAAGGTTTGATAATGTGAAAATTCTCTATGGCCAGTTTCGAACTCTTTTTCTGGCGGTGAAATGTCTCTAAACTGCACAATCCATATTGTTATAATTTTCTAAATAGCTACTTAAAAGTTAACCAATATAGTAAAGTACTTGTTATGCCTCATAGTCAATTTGTGGTCCTTTTATTTTTGCACTTTTGACTTTAATGGTAGCCGTTTGAATGAAGCTAGTGAACATCAGGTGAAACCAACTTTTCCCCGTATTTTCAGGAGATGAGTATGACATCAACCTGCGTGTCCGCTCCATACGCGGATACACCCGCCACTTTGTCCCGGTCATCTTCCACTTCTGTCGCCGCCTGGACAACAAGAACTTCCACATCGCCAGGTTCCTGTCTGCCGGGATAAATGACGAGCTCCTCCGCGCCCTGGCGCCCGCCCAGCCCTACACGCCTCCGCCGAGGGTCTACCGGGTCGTGCGGGGAACTCAGGAGCTCGAAGGAGTGAAACCCGACCCGTAAGAATCTACTTCTGGTTTTGATTACAACATTTATATTTAAACAAACCAAAATCAGACAGCGCAGGTTAAATGATGTAAACCCAAAGGGAAACGCGTATTCACTGTTCTATTCCGATTTCTTGTTAAATTTCAGTCCACAGAGAGACGGGTTAGTGATGGAACGTGTCGGCTATTATAACATCCCGTCTGACCTTCGCTGGCAGCTGAGGGGACGAGGGTCAGACATGTTAAGGTAATCTGTTCTATTTTTGCAACTTTTCTTAAAACCGTCCCATTTATTCATTTCGGCATCGAAACATGAAAACAAAAAGAGGTACACAAGCACGACAGAATACAGGGTGGTGTTGACAGGAAGAGGGAGAAGCACGTGCACGTTCTCCCGGCTGCGTCTTATTTAGACGTCAGGGTGGGGTTTACAGTCCGATTTGATTAATAAAATGACACTATGCCACATTTTTCACAATGAACTTTGTTTTATATGACATTTTGATAGCAGCTTTTGTGTTGTTGGCGTTAGCGGAGAGCTGTCCGGTGCTCTGACGTTCGCGGGTTACAGCGGCAGGTTCGGCAAACTACTGCACACGGAGGAGATTCAGATGGAGGTGGACATCCAGCGGTACAACATGGACGACGTGCCGCTGCAGAAGGACAACAATCCGAGGCTCCTTCGACTCAGGGTACTACATTTCAGATGTTGAGTTTAGTTTGGTAAGGTTTTATTTAGATCTCCATTCGTGACTTATTGCTCGTGGTTACTGAAGGAAAAGTAGCACCAAGGACAGGGTCAGTTTGTATGGTATAAGGTAGCATTACATGGTTACTGAAGGAAAAGTAGCACCACGGACTGGGTCAGTTTGTATGGTATAAGGTATACGTAGCATTATATGGTTCCTGAAGGAAAAGTAGCACCAAGGACAGGGTTAGTTTCGTATGGTATAAGGTAGAATCGCATGGTTACCGAAGGAAAAGTAGCACCAAGGACAGAGCCAGTTTGTATGGTATAAGGTAGCCTTAGATGGCTACTGAAGGAAAGGTAGCACCAAGGACAGATGCATGCAGAGAATTGATTTGATTGTGTTGTCATTCCTACATCAGGTTCCGGGATTGGCGGAGAACCGCCCATCTGTGTTGAAAGGTGACCATCTATTCGTCCAAAAGCGATTCGCGGGTCAAGCTGGGGCGACCCGTTACAAGGGTTATGTCCACCACACTGAACTTCTGGAGGTCAAGCTTGGCTTCCATAGCCAGTACGTCTCACACGTTTGTAATTCTCGTAGGTTAAGACATACCTATCTGCACCAACAACGCATAATAGGGTACATGGTGTTTATATTTCATAATATGGTGGTCATATGTCACATTTAGACACTTGTGTAGTGTCAAAAGAACCATTGCTGTAAATGGTAATCCTTCACGTGATGTAGCACTAATTAAGTTCCGTGCTGATTAAGTTCTATGGTAATAAGTGTAAGATGTGCAATGTTTTTTCTCTAAAAAACTGAAGGCTCTCCATAGATATGGGTTTTAACCTTAAAAGGCGTTTCCTAGTGGTAGCAACCAACTCGCGAGATCGTTAGCGTATTTATTCCAGGAATGGCGTTTAATCGAGCTCTAATCTACATATAGTTCTAGTCTATCATTCAATGTCGTCAGTACGTCAAGATGTTTTCTTCTTTTTAGGCTCGTGAGTAGTTTCATAACGGGGATGAAGTTTGATGTGCAGTTCACCTTCGGCCGCCTGCCCCTGCGTCTGCAGCATCGAGCCGTCCAAGAAGCGCCAACAAAAGCCATGATGGAGTATGTGCTGTTTCCTAAACACTCAGGCGTGGGGTACTTTCCGGATATCAGGGATTCAGAAAGTCTCAGGTACTAGATTCTCGTTCATGACAGACCTTTCAGACTCGCATAGTGGTTTGTATGTCATACGTATGTCATTAGTTGGCGCCCCTCTACCCAACGACAATGGATGATACATTGATTTTTTTTCAGTTTATTCGACCGGATGCTACGAGAGAACGAAGAGCAGAACCGAGCCGTGCGGCACATCGTGGCCGGCACGTCCCGCCCTGCCCCGTACCTCATCTTCGGGCCTCCGGGAACGGGCAAGACCATGACAACCGTGGAGGCCATCAAACAGGTGCTCAGTTCTAAGGTTCCTGCTATGTCATAATAGTTAGACCTGGTAGTGCATGGGCTTGGTTGCTAAAACACGCGAATAAGTAGTGTCTCCTTAGCATGAACATACTTAGATTAAGTGGGTCCCAAAGTCAGCACAAATACAAGGAAAATGTCGTTATCGTAACGTTTAACTCGATGAATTAAGGGCATTTTACACTGTGAAAAGGTGAAACTGCACATGTCATGATAACAGCGTATCTTGTGCGACCACATACTAGTATCTATAAGCAGTACATCTGTATTTCAGGTCCACACTCTGAACCGCGAGAGCGTGATCCTGGCCTGCGCGCCCTCCAACAGCGCAGCTGACCTGCTGGCTCAGCGCCTCATCAAGCAGCCCCAGTTCAAGTCATCCCTCTTCAGGATGAACGCCGTTTCCCGTCGGTGGGACATGCTACCTCAAGATCTGAAGGTAAATACCATCAGAATTCTCTCTACTAAATCTGAAGGTAGCCTGATGGACTCCCAAACTAAGTCGAAGTACAAGTACTAAGTAGTTCCTCTACAAAGCCGGCTCTTCAAATGATGGCATAACAATAGATGAGTGAAAGATTCATTTTCAAGCGACAAATCATCTTTTTCTTTACTAGGAAGCCGAGTGCTCTAACTACGATACCAGTGGTGAGGTTTACTTCCCAAGTAAAGAAGAGATCATGAAAAAGTACCGCATCGTCGTCACCACACTAGTTACTGCTGGGAGGTAAGTGATCATGAGGGGGCGGATACCCTTGGTAGTACAAAATATTCGAGGGGAGGTACAGGGTGGTCACAGTAGAAAAGGCGTAAGAAAAACAATTACAACCTTCTGCTTCTTTAAAGTCAATAAATAGGAATACTTATAA